CTTTTTTTTTTCCTCCAAGTTTCGATCAGATTTTTGAGGGATCCAACAACGTTAATTTTATGGTTCATGGCCATCAAGTTCTCTGCCACATCAGCTTGAGAAATAGGTGTATCCTTATACATATATGATTATATTTTTCTAAACAAATGCTAATTATTAAAATTTATGTAATTTCCGACAATAATCTTCAACGCAACATAAGTGCAGCACGACAACTTGATGTGCATATTCTTGCTATCCTTATGAAAATCGGGTAAAATTTTTACAAGTAGATTGTAGTGTACACAATATATCCTTACATAAAAAATTTAAAAATTGATGAACAAATAAAATACCATATATCCATATATGAAATTTGTTAATGAAAAAAATATTTCTAAATATTGTGAAAGCATATATCATATTTTAAAAGAATATGTTTAAATATAACGAAATTACCAAAAAAATTGAAAAAAAAATGTTTAAGACCCAATATATTCAAAAACTTTTATTCTATATCATAGTAAGAGTAGAACAAACATAGAATATGTTAAGAATTATATATACTTGAAATTTTCTTAATAATATGATAAACATTTCTAATAAGAATTGCGAAATACAAATAGCGAAAGTTTTCATTATTTTCAAATGAGAGTAATTAAACACTTTTTCAAATGCACATTATTTTTTTTTTAAATTATGTTGCTCACTAAATTTCTAACTCGCCCACACAATTATACACTAGAAACGAGATAGACATTATAAAACCACTACAAAAAAAGAAACAAGAAAAGTAAATTAAATGAAAAAAAATGCAACACATTACAATACTATCACATTCATAATAAGATTACATCGACTACATTATTTACTATGCCAATGACAATGGTCAGACACATACGATGAGGAAGTGTTTCACTGAATAAAAAGCAACAGAAATAAGGGATGATAATATTCAAAATAATATTATTTCATAACATTTTTAATATCAAATAAATAAAAAATCAAAATATATGCAAAACTAAACCAAACAAATATAATCTGCTGACCCAATTAGAATTCGTCGAGATCAGTGCGATGGCCAACATCGTCCAGTTGGAATCAAAAGAAGAGTGACATGTTTTTTTCTAAGAAAACGAATGTCCTACATATGGCTCGGTTAGTTTAAAAAAAATAACTTTTAAGAGAATAAAACATATGGGTCGGTTAGAAACCTAGCAAACCAAATAAAACAAACACTGATTATTTAAAATAAAGGTGTATATAATAGTATTTATGTATATCAAGTATATGGTATAATTGAAAATATAAAGTTTGGTTGCCTATGTATATGAGCTTTGTTCTTAATAGTTTGATTTTTAAAACCAAACTAAATCTGTAAATGTCATTTTCAGTTTTCTTGTGGTTTTAACAAATCAAAAAGTGTGTCTTTATTGTTCATTATTCTATTCAACTTTTTTAAAAATATGTTATGTCAAATGCAATAATTTATAAATATATAAAATTTGATAATTTTCAGAACATGTTATCCGCGCGTAGCGCGGAAAAAGGATCTAGTTACACTAATTACAGGCAAATGTTAAATTAGCAGAAAGAAGAAATTAAATCAAGTAAAAATAGAAAATAAAGAAAATATTCATTGCCGACAGGTTACAAAAATTTATTTAAATTATAGGGTTGATTCATTCATATTGATGTACTTCCATGATATAAGTTTTTGTAATAAAGCTAAGTGTAGGATATTGTCATTATGTTACAATGCTATTAAAAATGTTATCACTTTGAACAAACATGGATCTACATAAATAAGAGTTTGAATTTTAGATTGGTTCGTTTAAATATGAACAACCAGACACTTGCAAAAAAAAAAAAAATTGACCTAACATGAACAAACTAAGCCCAATCTTCTTGGAACAAACATGATATGGTATAACTTATCCCTACGATATATCCATGTTCAAGAATATGATACGTAATGATCCAAATAAATTAAGCTTAATGTTATTGAAACAAACATGATCTGATTATTTAAGTCCATGTTCTTCCTCAGCAAGATCTATAAGTTATAATTTTACACGTCCATTTGAACATGCCCATTTGCATGTATATATGAGCATTGTAAGCTCAATATGATAGGATATAAAGAAAAATACACAGAAAGGCACATTTGTATAAGAACATATAGTATAACAGCTATCTAGTTGTATGTTCAGTGGTATGGTATGTAATTTCTCTACGCAAGAAATGATTGCTTTAAAAAATGTGTGAAAAAATCTTTCATGATGACACCTAAGCAGTGACAATTATATTAAAGATATTACCTAAAAAAATTAAAAAATAATAATAAAATTGCTCCTCAAATAATAATAAAGATATTACCTTGAAAATTGCTGTCACTTGTCGTTGAACATGTACTCTTTGAAGAGTTTAATCTTTACAAGATAAATTATTGGATTCACTTTATAGTGAATCTTTATGTTCACCAATCAATAGGATTTTATTATTTCATGAAACAAAATGAAACAAATATTATTGAGTTATATTATATTTTTGTAAAATTAAAAGATAAAAATAATAGTAGTTGCAAACAAAAAACATTTTTTAAAAAAATATTTTTAATACCGTCAGCAAATTACTAAATCCTAAACCCTAAATCTCTGTGTAAATCCTCAAATCCTAGATTAGTATTAAACCCTAGAATTTACGATTAATCCAAAGCTTTAGAGTTTACCTAAGAGTTTAAGGTTTAGGATTTAAGGTTTAGTGTTTTGATAATAGTATTAAAAAAAAAATTTAATTTTTTTCTTTTGCAACTAATTTTATTTTTTATTTATTTTTATCTTTAAATTTTAAAAAACATAATTTAACTCGACAATATTTTGTTTCCTATTTTAAAAGATATTGAATTTAAAATAATGTAATCTTATTGGTTGATGAATCTATAGGTTCAGTCTAGGGATGAACCCAAGAATTACTTCTTTTACGAGTTATTCTTGGGTTCACCATCCAATATGATTATATTATTTCATATATGATATCTTTTAAAAAAAAGAAACAAAATTATGTTAAGTTATATTATGTTTTTAAAAATAAAAATACAAAAAAATAATTAATAAAAGTGAAAATAAATTTTTTAAAAGAAAATATTTTAACTCTAAACTCTAATCCTAAACCCTAAACCACTGGGCAAATCATAAACCTTTGGATAACTTTAATAAAAAAGTTATTTAAAAAAAAATATTTTAACACTAAAACACTAAACCCTAAACTCTAATCCTAAACTCTAAACCCTTGGATAAATCATAAACACTAAATTTTGAAAACACTATAAGATTATCCGAAGGTTTATGATTTATCCATGGGTTTAGGATTAGAGTTTAGAGTTTAGAGTTTAGAGTTTAGTGTTAAAATATTTTCTTTAAAAATAATTATTTTTGTTTTTATTAATTATTATTATTCTTTATTTATTTTTGTATTTTTATTTTTAAAAACATAATACAACTTAATAAGATTTTGTTTATTTTTTTAAAAAAAATATCAAATATAAAATAATGCACTTCTGTTGGATGGTAAACCTAGAGGTTCATTCTATGGAGTGAACCCAAGAATAAGTCCTTCTTTTACAATGAGATATATGGTACTGAGATTCATGATATTAACTTTTAGAATCTTTTCCATGTTCTTCAAATTGGTTTGTTTGGTGCTCTTCATTTCAAGATTATCATTCTTTTTTAACGCAAAAAAATTATCAGTCTGTTATTTCCAATATATAGGATTGGTTATAGATTTTTAAATCCCAAATAATTTTCCATGTTACTTCATTCTTTGTACCTCGACCATGTGTCTGAATTCTCACTCCAAGATTGATAATTTCTGACAAGATCACGAAAGAAGAAAACATTTGGTCCAATATATAAACAAGGTTAAATAAACAAGATTCATGCCGATTAAACGATCCTTAGCAAACTACAAAACGCCCGTACATGATTATTGCTTATAAGCTCTAACAGAAATAAACTGAGAGTTTGGTAGATGATGTATGTATATGGCACTCTCAAGACTCAACTCGAAGGCCTATCTGATCGTAAGCATTCATTCACGAATCAGGAAAACCTTAATTATCATCAATTTTATGGACATTTTATTCTCTGTTCAGCTTCCTGATCACGATTTTTATCAACGGCCAATACATTGGTCTTTGATGGAAGACAACAATCGGACCATGAGAGCTAGTCTTGCCTCACCACGTAACTATGTAGAGGCAAGGCTAGCTCTCATGGTTGGATTGCCATCAAAAACCACTGTCTTGGTGGTCGATAAGAATTATGATTAGGTATTTGCAACTGAGAACAAATGATCCCTAAGATTGATGAAAAATGGGGATTTACTGATTCGTCAATGAGTCAGTCAGATAGGCCATCGAGTTCAGTTGCATCTTTCTCCCATCAAGAAGTTTTGCTCTCAGTGAGCCTTCGAGCTCAGTCGCATCTTTGTTCCTCGAAGGCATCTTTTTGGCTTAGAGTTTTTGATAGAGAATTTATAAAAGTAACATGCATTCATAACGAGCTAGTTTTCTTTGCATCTTAGATACAATATATATTATACGCGAACTGGTTTCAACGGGTTGTGGCAGTGGAGTATGGTTACTAGAAACAAGACACCATCCAAAAAGTAGATTTTGTACCAGATCCTACTGTGCTAGACAAGGAAAAACAAGGCTTATTGTTATTACGACCCATACGATGAAGTCCTTAAGTTATAGAGAAGCATTGCCTGTGTTCGTGTTAATTGGACCGTGCTTTAAGGGACCTTAACTCCACTTGTGAGAGGTAACGTTAACAAGATTAAATTAACTATAGCAGTTGATAGGATGAATAAAGATATTTTTGGACGATCCCATATCTTTACAAAAATGGTTTAAACATTGCATTATCTATGCGATATGTTACATTGTTTATTTATTGGTTATTTTCTCAACATTTTATCTTTTTAAGTGAACCACTAATTATAAATCTTAGGTAGTTTTTCAGATCGGTTCAAATCGTAAAACAACGCAGAATAAGAAAAAAGGTTATTAACAATAAGGCGTGAATCAACACTTCTATGAATGACAACTAACTGAATGTTCTTAGCGAAATTAACTTGGAAAATGATGGTCCAGCCACTTGAGATTATCAAGAAGACCACATGACCACCATATAAAATCTGTAAGGAAAATAACTTATTACATATCTACAGCTTCATCGTCATCTTCATCGTCTTCCCAATCAAGGCTAAACGAATTAGCAGCTTTCTTAAGCTCGGTTAAACCGGTCAGATCCTCCAAGTATGTAGGATGGTTAATGGCTTCAAGTATGAAACTGTTTCCTTTTTCTCGATACTCTGTTACCACCTGAAATACAAGTTCTCAAGATCCATAAGAAACCATGCAAGCCACCCTTATATTAAGAAAGATTTCATGTAGAAACTTACGGTTTCAGAACAAGCTGTACAGCTGTTGGAAGCTTGGCCCAGCAGCGTGATCTGTGAGAACTGAGAAACTGAGCCTCGAATCTGATGAGGTAAGATCCCGAGAGGTGATTCATCCGTGTTTCCTCCATTACTTGAGCTCGAGTTGTCTCCTTTTGCATATATACTGATAAAACAACATATGTAAGAAGATAAGCCTCTGGAGTGAGTCAGACTTTCAAAAGACTTACCCAAGTGGGTGCTGTAGAACTCCGACTAAGAGTTCAACGGCTAGAGCTCCTGCAATAGGAGCTAGCCCCGGGCGTGTAACAGTGCATTGTTGGTCCAGAGTTCGATCAGTCATTGACTGCAACATGCCAACACAAGAAGCGGTTTACTACAACTAAACTTGAGGTACCATAAAACAAAGACTCAGCCAAGTGCTCTTACATCTTGAGGGGCAACAACGTCGTTGCAGAAATAACAACCAAGTCTCTGTCTTCCTGTCTTGTTCATGTCAAGATTCTGCATTTCATCAGACAATGAGGTAGGACCAGCGCCATGTCGCATTACCATGTAGCTATCGAAACCTAAAGCAGCGTTTATAGCGATCTGAAAATTCAAACCAAACAAGTTATGTTACTTGAATAACAAGAAAACAAAAGATAGGAATAAAGAAACAGAGTTAAATGTTGTTACCTTATTAGCATTAGCACAAAGAAGAGAAGGTAGCCACCTGCTTTCTCTTGTATCAGTCAGCAAAAACACTGCATCATGAGATTCAATCAAATCACGAAGGCGTTTGCAATCACCAAGAACAGACTCTTCCTCTTGGCTAGAAATCGGATGTCCAGGCATCGGTATAGCCATAACAACTCCACTAGATTCCACAGCTGGAAAGATCTGTTTAAGGCTTTTAACAGCAGCAACGGCTTTAAACTCGCCACGACCTACACAGTCTTCAAACGTGTAGAGAGATTGCCTGACTGGATTAGACATAGCTACTTTGCCATAGTCAACAAAGGTTATGTTGCGGATTCCCCAACCCTAAAAGGAAAAGGTTCTTGAGTAAGTAAGTGAGTTTTGTAAGATTGTTTGATCTCGCATTCTCATTGATGCATTACCATAAGGGTACGAGCAACTTGGCAACCCAATGTACCAGCTCCAAGAAGAAGGCATTTGACAGAGGACAAAACGTTTAAGTCTAGAGATGGTAACGCACGCCATCGCATTAACTTCAAGTTCAAATCACAAGCAGAAACAGCCAACCTGCGAAAAAAGGATCGTTAATCAGATCTTATCAATTTAGTTAAACTATGCCATTGACAGAGAGCAAAGGTATGTACCTTGTTGGATCCATGGAGTTAGCAAGGCTAATGGATCGGGGAGCTCGTTTTCCTTTGTTAAGCTCCCATCCCACTGAGTTAGGTACAGTCTCAGCTGATGAATCTGATGGAAGAGTAATCGAGGCTTGACCAACAAGGGAAAGGCTCATGTCAGCAAAACCGCGACTCTCTCTGTAGCAGAAGAACCGAACAGTCTCGAGGTTCCATTTTGAGCGAATAAGTGCTAGATAATTTCGAAGTGGCCAGCCAGGATTGCCAGGAAGGTGACACGGGTCATAGAAACCGAAAAGCAACTGCAGGAAGAGAGGTACATAAAGCTGAAGTATTATTCGGTTCTAACGCATTTGAAAGAGGCTAGTCCGCACATACCTTATGATGATCACCTTGGCTGGCTTCCCAGTCTTTAAGATGTCTGATAGTAGCTTTTGAATCAGAGGAAACCGAAACCAAAAAGAATGGAACATCTGTCGCAAAACAGGTTTCAGTTACCATTCAATAATAATAATAATAACTGAAGAAGAACATTGATACCTACCTGTAGTTAAACTTGAGTCACGCCACTCATTACACGCAGCAGATACCGATTCTGCTTCTTCTGAACTAAAATACTCAGAAGCTGGATTTAATTCAACCAAGCTTGCAGGAGGATCAAGCACAAGTGCAGGGAACGCAAACCAATAACGAAAACTCCACTTTTTAAGGTCCGCGAAGGAGATAACAAGGAACCTAGATAACAAAGCACAGTCCTCAAGAGCTCTTCCTGATTGAATATCTTCCCAAATCTGAAACTCACCAAAACAACTTTATTTAGACATATTCTCTTGGAAAAAAGAAGAATCAAAACCGAGTTTGACATACATACCTTCTTAGCTTCTGCTTTTAGCAAGCTTTGTTTGTCGAGTTTACTAAAGCTTTCCACGGTGTTGGTGTTGTACAGAGTCCCTGGAACAGGACACTTGTTCCTATTCCCATGCATAGTACTTTGCGTCGATGACTGTTCATCATCTGAAGAAGGCAATGACTGTGAAAGCAGAGTCAGATGGTTTGAGACTTGTGGATGAGAACATGGTGCATAGAAACCTGCAAGTTCCACAATCCGTTCCAGTATAAGAGAATCTGATATCATCAAACACGTGAAGATAAAACATAGTTTCAACCTAGATGATGATAGCAAACCCGACATGGGTTATATAAACTTCTCAATTTTATTCAAAGTTCATCAATTAGAAACCTCGTGAAGATGAAGATGATAGCAAAAACACAAGATGAGTTATAGAGTTCGATATTGAAATCGATGTTGATGGGTACTTTCGTAATTAAGGGTTTGTGTTACCGGTGATGGAGATGGGAGAATCGTCGATTCCGAGCTTATCGAGTTTCAAAGAGGAAAAGCTGTGCCAGAAACCTTCGTCAACGGAACTGTTCAATGGAGCGAACTGAAGTATCGTCGATTGAGATTCCCTATTATCAACCATGGCCGATTCTTAATCTCTGAGTGATTGCAATTTGTGTCGAAAGTCAATGGCTGTAGGAAAGAAGAAGAAGAAGTCGATGACGGAGAGAGGAGAGAAAGAGGAGTCGTGCAAGGAACAGATTCAATCCGGGTCGGCTCGGCTCGGCTCGGCTTTAAATCGAAGCAAACCAATACCGGTTAGGTTTAGAATAAGTATGCACTAGACATTTAAAATTTTATTTTCTACAACAATATAAGGGTCTGATTGGTTGCAGCCTCTGTTCGAAACTACGTTAAGCACTAGTCGGGCGGTAACAACGGACCTAGCGAATTATCAAAAAATCGGGGATTAAATGGAGTATATGCGAGCATAATTTTTTTCTTTATTTAATTTTTTAATATTTTTACATACTGTATGTTAAGTAATTGTTTTGGTTACAAACGCTAGTGAAAGTATTGTGGTGCAGTGGCCAGTTTTGCCTTCTTATTCTGTCCAAACTAGGGTTTGAATGCCCATTAGTACAGTTTTTATTATTTTTTTATTTTATTAATAAAAGGGCAAAATCATAATTCTTATTTCATCTTCTTCCTCGAGCTCTTCTCTACGCAGATCTAATTTTGTAGCCGTTTTTCATTTTTTTCCAGCATAAAACACCTTATTTTATGTTATTTTCTTCAATTAAACTCAGATTAGTTTGCTACAAACACTTATGTATGATAATTACACGGATTTCAATCACAAAATCGCCAAAATAGAAATCTTTTTTCTAAACCGAGTTTTGAAGCGATTATATCAAAATCGGGGAGGTTAAGCTCTGCCGAGCAATTTTCCGGTGAGGAATCGGCCGGAGTGGCCACGTTTTTGAACATGGTTGCAGCTGTAAATTTATATTTTTTTTCTGTAGAATTTATGTGATAGGATTTTGTGCTATAGCTGTAAGATTTTTAGTTGTGAGTTTTCAAAGAAAGTATGATTGGTTAATATTAACATTGTACATTGATATTAAAATTAAATTTTATTATATTAACATTAAAATAAAATAATAATATCTTAAAATTAAAATTAAAATTTCTAAGTTGATTAATTATTGTATAAACTGTAAAATGATTAAGATATAAATTAAAATATCAAAATTTCTTTATATATGTACGTGAAAGTTTTTATTTATATACCATTTATATGTATACATATTTTTACATATTATTTGAAATATTTTTCTGAATTATATATGTAAGAAATATATAATTATATTTATATTATTGAAATATATTACTATATATGAAAAGAGGTGTACATTTTTTTATAGAAAAGAGAAAAGGTATTTGCAATAGCAGTTAAAAAGTGCTTTAGAAAATTAGTTCTCTACAGCCATAAAATAAAAGATAGATATGGCTGTGAAATTACAAAAATTAATCAAAGCTTGATTGCTTTTGTTTTAGTGCTGTGGAGAGAATTAAAACTGTGCACAACACACACAGCTTTGACCAATCACCCCCTAAAACTAAGCGCTTATTTGCCAACTAGTTAAAAAAATAATTAGAATTTTAGAGAAAGAGTTGAGAAAGATAGGAAGAAACAATACGAGAGAGAAGAGAATTTTAGCTCTTCTGTGAATTTGTGTTCTTTTTATGTTTATATGGTGCAATTTCTATAAAACTAAACTATAATCTATCTTTTCATGTTCAGGAAATCAAGTCGGAAGTGTAGAATCGACATAGAACATAGTAGAAAGTAAATACTTAGCATCACGTGTAAGTTTGTCTGACACTGAGTTATGTGCTCTCGCAATATGTTGGACCTAGAAAGTAGAGAAGAAAATCTTATTACGTTGGAATTTTTTTATGTGTGTAGCAAATGCTGGCCATTCTTTAGACACCATATTCACTAGTTGAGAAAAGCTTATTGCAAAAATTACATCTAAAAAATTGTGGGTCTTCATGCACTCCATAGCCCATATCAAAGTCTCACATTCTGCATATAAAACGGATAAGCTTCTTCGGAGATTCATTGACACAAATCGAAACTTCGTAAAGCCTTGTTCTGAATAAACCCTAAAAGCAGTCGACTTCTCATCTCCCTTGTTGTCCTTGAACGGGATCTTAGCCAGAGAAGTAGAGATTTCTCCGTCATGCCGCTTCTGTTCTTCTAAACCTCTACACGACCAAGAGAGTGAACCTACGACATCTAGCTTGAATCCAAGAACAACGATGAAGCTTTTTACGAAAACAAAGTAAAGGAAGTAATGCCCTCTCGACCGCATGACGCACACCTCGGCGGTGAAGAAGCGAAGGAGAAAGATGAAATTTGGTCTCGAGAGAAAAGGTGTGTATTATTTTCTACTTTGGTAATATATTTTCGGTTGCATTTGATACATAGTGGAAAATTATATACTGGATTTCAATGCTTAAAAATTGTAGAAAATTAGCAATTTTTAATTATTTTATTTTTTTCTGAATGGGATCCACATGCTGAGGTGGATAAGCTTATGAGACAGTAAGAACTCTCTTGTTATAATATAGACTAGGGGTATAGCCCCTGTCAAGCACGGGGTCGGGGACATAGTTGATGTATTTTATAATTTATTATAGCTTTTGACCTTTGACATATAAATTGAATCGATATGGCATGTGATTGTCTCTTGTATTAGTTAATAAAGTTCTAAAAATCCATATATACCGGTAACCAATATGCACTTTTGTTAAATGCCAAAGGTTCTTCTTAATCTTCTATAATTTCCATAAATTTTTCTTTTATATATATTTTCGGAATCCCAGAAACGGATGCAGCGAGCAACCATAAACTGAGCAGTTCAACCAAGATAGAGAGAATCAAAAGCATGCATGCAGGAGGTGTTACGGATGTGGTCCATTATTAATTAAGAGAGAAGATGAAGGCATTTCGAAAAGATGTAATAAAATTTGACTGGGAGAAGAATCGATGAGAGAATAAGAATGAAGGATTCCTCTAGTAAGATAGAGTATATATAAGCAGGAATGCAGGAGGTGTTACGGATGTGGTCCATTATTAATTAAGAGAGTAAAAATGGGTCCATTATGTAGTCTTGTTAAATGCCAAAGGTTATTCTCTATCTTTTCTAGTTCACATAAATTTGCCATTTTTTATGTTCCGGGAATCCCATAAACGAAGGCAAAGAATAACCACAAACTGAGCAGTTCAACTAAAGTAGAGAAAATCAAAAGTCGAGAGGCATGCAACAGCTTTAGCAACTAAAGAAAAAGATGAAATCATTTTCGAGAAGATGTAATAAAATTTGACTAGAAGAAGAATTGAGGAGAGAATAAGAGATGAAGGATTCCTCCGTTTAGATAGAGTATATACGAAACAGAATGCAGGAAGAGTTACGAAAGTGGTCCATTATTAATTAACAGACTAAAAATGGGAGACGTAGAGGTAGAGTAAGAGAAATTGATTCATGAAAACACAAATAGTCACTATGTGTTTAGATTAGTCGGAAGTCATGTTCGGAATGACGCTAGGCGTTAGTCGGGGGACTGATGAAAGCCTAACGAATTAATGATTAATCGGGGATTACGCAGATATTAAATGAGACATAATTTTAAATATTTTATTTTATTTATAAAATCTTTATATATAAAGAAAAAGAAACTCTCTTCTCCTTAACCCACCTCAGCATATGATGTCATAAAATATTAAAACATGAGCTTGCCACGTAGCCATCCCTAAGTGAGGTTAAATGTTTTTGTTTTAATTGTGGGTTGTTTTTAATATGGACAGGGCTTTATTAGGTTCTGCAGAAAATTGAGTATTCAGCCCAATAGCAATATATAGGCTTCTTAGCGAGAGACGATATTGGGAACTTAGGGTTTCTTTGTCTTCCCCAATCTATCATTAGATCAAACAACTATGGAGATTCCGAAAGTCCAAAGAGACAAATCGTCATCTAGAGACTCGGACTTACACGTTGTTACACTCATTTCGTGTTCATTTCTTTCGTCCCAGACGTTTCGAAACCACATTTCATCTCCTTTAAGATACATCTTAACTCCACTGAGGCTCATCAAGGACGCCACCGCTTTCAATGTTACTTTTCTCTTCTCAAGGAGGTGATTGCAGACCTATAAATAGGTATTCCTTTATCCTTAGAATATCATCGTCACAGTCCCACAAGAATGGAAACTTCACATTTTGTTCTTCGTGATCTCAAGGCGGGCGATGTTCTTCCACGGTGAAGATCCGATTGCTGAGATTGTGGGAGGCTGAAATGTCAAGTGTGGTGGTGGGGATTTGATGGGGGTTGACATGCTCCTCCTTGATACTCAGGTTAGTTCGATCTTAAATCTCAAAATCATAGTGATTTAACAATTCCGGCGACAAGTCGATAACTTTTTATTCATCCCATATTCAAACTTTTTAATCTGTTCTTTGATTAATATCTTTGAATTTTTTTTCAACGTTTGTGGTTCCTCGGATCTTAAATCCCTTAGTCATATTGTTTTTAACAATTCCAACTACCAAGTTTCAAAATTTTTATTCATCTCATAATCTTCAGTGAGATCATCTTTTCATACATTTTTTTATTATGTTTTTTCCACAATTGTTTCAATTTACTCTCATGCCGGCCACCGTTATTGTTCACCGGCTAACTGCTTTCAGTTTCAGGCAACGAAATTCGATGCATTAACGGAATCGGTTTCTCCGGAAAAGCGATTCAAGTTCTGCCCTTGCCAACACCAACACACAACTTCCAGGTACATATATCCTACCATTATCTGTTCATCTCATACTTATCTTTGTAACCGGTAAATAATAAAGCGGATGACACTTCTGCTTGAAGCTCCGACTCTGCAATGCCAAAAGCTCAAGCTCAGGCGGCACCAAAATCACGGATTGAGACTCACCGGAGCTGAAACCCTGGAGACGTCACCGGAATAATATATATACATAATATATGCATAGATACTTTAGAAAGCCCGTATTCTCTAAACAAAACATTCAAGATTAGTTTCGATGTTTTGTATTTGTTCTTCAAGAAGATGTTTAATGTCTCAATTTGCGCTTTTATTTTGTGTGTATGTTTTGTTTTGCAGGTTAAAAGCATTGTTCCGTTTAGCGAACCATTCACAGTAGATCCTGAGACTCCTCCACCAGAGAAAGACTGCAATGAGTATTTCAAGAATCTGAAAGATGGAATCACTGGCAAAGAAGCTTTGGAACAGAACACTGTTTCTGTTTAAAAATCAGGTCTCTTTCGGTTTCTGATTTCTTTTTAAGTACAAACAACACAAATATTGTATATTCCATATTTGGTACATTGAAGAGTGGATTATACGAAGCTTATTCAACGACAACGATAAAGATTTCAACTTTTAATCCGTTGAGGTTCTTGAAATATATCAAATTTCTCTGCCATTTTTACTGTCTCTTTGTATTGTTCCTTGGGGTGTAAGAAAAACTGTGCGTTGGAAGGGTAGATTTTTCCAACATTCTGCATATATATATATATATATATATATATATATATATATATGTGTGTGTGTGTGTGTGTGGTTGTGTTTAAGTATTTAAAATTATAAGCATTATTCAATATTCTACATAATTTGCTTTCTCTAAAACTTGAAGTCAGACCACTTAATATACAAGTACTAACAAGCCTTGAACAAACTGCTAGACTAAATCAATCGAATGTAATTTGGTCGTCAAGGATCTTTGATACCAATGTTATGTTTGTTGTGAGAACTTTGTGTTTGTTTGCTTTGAAGCAAAGCCATAGCGGTCTCTGACACTTTCCTATACCTTTTGTTTCTTCCTATTTGTAACTCCAGTCTCTGAAACTCAACGTACATGTCTACAATGGAACAATTACAAAGACTGAGAAATATGGTTAAGAAAACAACAAAAGAAAGAGAGAAATCTGTCACCTCCGAGTTGTGCATTAGCAACAGGCGTCGTCTGGTAATAAGCGCAGATTCTATATCTGAAGTTGCCGGTAAATGGATCTCAGCTATCTAAACATAGTCTCACAAATAGAAATCAGTTAACTAATGGTTCTGTTGCAGTAAAAGAACTAATGGTTTTACAAACATATACAGTGCCGTGCTCTGGATTGTCTCATATAAATTATAAGAAAACTCCCCTACATGGTGAATGATGGTTTGAGTCAAAACTACCCTACGTGATGAATGACGTGGTCTGTATATGTTTTCTTATATATCTCAGCAACCAGAGGCAGTCATGGTGAATGATGGTTTGAGTCAAAAAAATACTTCCACTTATGCTACAAAGTTCCAGTGTCAAATTATCTTAATTAGTAAACATAAAAAAAAAATCTAATGTATTTTACTATTTCAAAAATCTATAATTAAAGTTCAAGTTTACTCTATTTTTTCCTGTAAAATAACATTTTCCAAAAGTACAAAAACAAAGAAAAATAACAATAGTTATTTTAGAATACAAATAGAAATTGGTTGAAACATATAAGTCTCTAAATATTATTATAAATAAATACAGAAATGCATTAGTAAGTGTTATAAGGTAACCTTTATTGTTCTCATAAACGCATCTTCAGCCAATCTGATAACTAAGAAAACGTTACACCGCTGACGACCCACACCTGCTCATGTTTTATTATGAGAACTCAAATTTATATAAAACAAAATAAATCAAGTAAATAACAGATTAACAAATGATAATTTATGGTATGTATTGATGTATCAAAAATAGATACTATGTCATGATATTGAAATCTTAGAAGAGATTATGTTCCCATTTGTTTGGTTGTAAATAATTTCCAAACCTATATAAATAAAATAAAAATAATAATAAAAAGAAAATTAAAAATGAAAATTTATTTAAATATGCGTTAATTAAGAAAAAGTATACATAAAGGTGCATAATAAATATATAGTTTAGACTATAAATTAGAAGTAAAAGTTTTAGTACCCTGGTAACTAAAATCTAAATAGTATGTATTTTAGGATTTTTTTAAAAAAATTTAGTTGTTTTAAAAAGATAAAAAGGATTAAAGGCATTAAACTGGTCTACGTTGCTATATGGATTCATCGGTCAGGTTTTATAACTAAACCAATGAAAATTAAAAGATTTTTTTAATTTGATGGTGGCCATAACACGATTTTTTTCCTCAAGAGGATCACTGACGATGCTCTTCCCGGCAATTAGCTCTCCGACAATGTCTGCCAGAATAAGACAGTTAATACAGTTTCCGGCCATTAGAGTATTGAAAATTAGGTTATTTAACTGGCAGCTGAGTACTGGTGTTAGCCAAACCAATGAGCTCAGAATGTTCACGAAACCTGAATCCCTCTTCCGGTAAAGGAGAAACCGGGTCAGTTATCTCATCAAAACCGGTCGTTTCAACAAAACGGATCATCAATGGAGAATCAGTTAACCGGAAATTAGGACCACATCGACTGACATCAAAACCGGAGAGGGAGTACATACTGCCGACAGCGAGTTTTGGCCGGAAAGCTCCCATACAGCTGGCACTGATGGTCGCATGCATGATGGTGGCCTGCAAAAAAAATAATTAAAAACGACAGAGATTAATAGAGATGCTGTCGGAATAACATCTGTGATGTCTGAGTTTATAATGAACAGAACACATACATTAACATCAACCATTAACATATCGACCATTTTCAGATGTTGAGACTGCCAATTTCTCACCAAAGTTGACAGTTCCTTTTTGGAAATTATACAAAGGCTACTGTTGGCGAGAACCTCAAAAAAAGTCATATACACTAACTATTACATACAAGTTATTTAACCGCAAATAGTATATTGCTCAATCAGGATAATGCCGTATAAGAAAAATCCAAAAACAAATTTACTTAGAAAAAAAATAGCCAATAACTTAAATTAATAATATAGTACAGCGCATACCAACCAAAAAATATGTAAATTTATTTTAAATAATATTAAATTTATATATAATTTCTAATTTTAAAAAATGTGAATAAACTTAAAAGAACATGAACATACATATATAATATTTAATTTGGATATATGTAATTAAATTGAAATTAACATGAGTATCATAAAGTAGGTTTTTCTCTTTTTAAGGAATGTCACCTCATCAAATAAAAGAACCTACTTCTGGCACGTGTCTCTTTACAAAGAAATTTCTCTTTTGGTTTGTTGGGCATACACGAATCTTTTGTTATAGGTTTTGAATAAGAAGTTAACCCACACAAAAGCTGGATCACCTTGGACTTCTAAACATGTAGCCTCCGTTAGGATTCATCATTGTTTGTGAGTTCTCATTTGATATAAAGAAGCATCACTTCGTTATACATTGGCTAACATTTATTTTTTTACAATTCTTTAGATAACTCAATGTTTTATTTATAACATCAAAGTGAAAAATATGAGAGTACAAATTCAACATTTTAAAATATGGATTAAACAATAAATTAATAAATAAGTGGAGAAAGAATATAGTATGTATATTTCTTTTTGGAGTAAAAAATTGAGATAACCATTGAAACAAAACTTCTCTCTATTTTCTTTGCTTTTTATTTCAGTTGTAACATAGATGATTTTAAATATATTGTTCACTTCAGATAGATGACTTTAAAAGTCAATGTATGAGATTAAATTAAAAAAATATTTATTTAATCTATACAAGAATTAATATTAAAAAACGTAAATCATTTTGACATCGAATATGAGATCACATGTTCTTAAAAGAGACAATATAGAGAAATTTTGAATCATTTATAACATATCAATGTCATAAATATTTAATATATAAATAACTACTATAGACAAACAAAATATATTTTATCACATATAATCTTTTCTCACCTAAAATTTTTTAAAAGACAAAAACAATTATTATATGCATCTTTTAAAAATGTAAACTTAAAGAACAAACTACGAAATCATACAAAAAATAATACCCTAAATTAAAAATAAAATATATTCCGCCCGTAGGACGGACCTACCCTAGTCTTCTTATTATATAAAGTACATTTTTTTCCCTTCTGCTACATCGACGTCATCAAATAGGTCTCTCAGAGCAAGAGCATGACATGTGTCCTTTTACTAAAGTGCTGCGTTTTATTCACGGCAGAAAAGAAGAATTTTCGGGCTTTTTTGTTTATGAAATTGAACCCACTAACAAAAACCCTTTCTTTTGGGACAAAAACACGCTTCGTGTTCTTCTTCGATTCCAATAACAAAAAAAAACTCTTCCATGTTCTCAGACACCATCAATGGAGATTCGAGATGGTGATTGACTG